AATAGCCTCAAAATGTTCTTACCATATTTACTGAAAAGTTCCAAAGCAGTATGATAAATATTACTCATTACTCATAACATTTCTTATTAATCTAATCTTCCTCAAAGTCCTAGAGCCTTTCAATCCAGGCAACGAATTGCTAAATACAGTAGAAGGCAGCAGAATTGGATCCTTTATTCATGCTCTGTTTTAGGAAGGGGTGGATATATACCTGTACTTTCTCCGCAGACACTGACTTCCTCGCATTGCACATCAAGTAAGCATGCTGTAAAGATCTGTAGCATAGAAAATTCATTGGAAAATGCAGTGGGAGACTGAGAAATAGGTCTATGGAATAGTTACAATTTCAGTAGAGGATTTATGTCTCTGCCTTCATTGCTGCGCTTTAAAGAAAAAAAATAATCTGATGACTGACTACATATAAGCTATCTAAAAAGTAGCTCTCTATATCTGGACCTTCAAGGGTTACTGAAATTTGTGCTGTTATGAATGTAATATTACTTAATCTTTTGCTATTATGTAGAATATTTGCAACAACTTAGTTATAACTCTCAGTTACCTTCATTGTAAGAGCTTATTGAAGTACAAAATCAATGAAAGTCTATTCAGAAAAAATCAAGAGCAACTGGAAACTGAAGGCCCTTTCTGGATTTAAAAAATGTAATCTTTTTTAGTTTCTCCAAGGAAAATTATAGATTAGCTTTTTCTGTGGGAGTGAGATATTGAAAAGAGATTTCTACCTTTCTAATTCTTAAATTAATTTTAAAAGGCAAAAATCCTTCTGAAACAAAGAACAGACCGTACATTTTTAAATAAAATAATAATTCACTGTACGATTTATCCTTTAATCCAAGTTCCAGTCCTCACTGGTGCAAGCTCCGGCATCTCAAGGAGATCTCGACACCTGGGCAGGGTCCTGGCAAAGTCAAATGGGACTTTTTGCAGATACAGATATTCGCCTCACAGCTTCGATTGCAGGACCAGGGCATTAGCAGTTAAAGAAGAAGGTGACCTAGAGTCTAGTCTTAACTCTGTCCGTAACTTCTGGAGTGACCCTGGGGGACAAATCATTAAACCATTCTGGGTAAATATTATTACTGAAATCAATGGGTGTTCTGTAGTCGATTCCAGTGGAAGTCATCAGATGATAAGATTAAAGTTTATCTCTTGCCAATCGGGCAAAGTACTTTTAGCATTCCTGGATGACTACTCTATTAATATAAAGCACAATTGTTGCCAGCTCTATTTTATCACAAGTCTCACAATATTTGGTATAGAATAATAGAAAACTAAGGTTGAAAGGGACCTCAGGAGGTCACATCTAGTCCAGCCCCCTGCTCAAAGCAGGACCAGCCCCAACTGCATCATCCCAGCCAAGGCTTTGTCAAGCTGGGTCTTAAAAACCTCCAAGGGTGCAGACTGCCCCATCTCTCTGGGTAACCCGTTCCAGTGCTTTACTACCCTCCTAGTAAGAATTTTTTTCCTAATATCCAACCTAAACTTTCCTTGCCGCAGGTTGAGACCATTGCTGCTTATTCTGTCATCTGCCCCCACTGGGAGCAGTCCAGCTCCATCCTCTTTGTAACCACCTGTTAAGTAGTTGAAGCTACTAGTAAATCCCCCCTCAGTCTTCCCTTCTCCAGACTAAATAAACCCAGTTTCCTCAGCCTGTCCTCATAAATCATGTGCCTCAGCCCTCTAACCATTTTTGTTACTCTCCACTGGACTCTCCCATTTGTCTACATCCATTCTGTAGTGGGATGCCCAAAACCGGACATAATACACCAGATGTGGCCTCACCAGGGCTGAATAAAGGGGAAGAATTACTTCCTGTGATCAATGCAGTCCAGTATGCCATTAGCTGCCTTCACAACAAGGGCACACTTGCCTCATATTCAGCTTATTGTTCACTGTCACCCCCCAGGCCCTTTTCTGCAGAGCTGCTGCTTAGCCCGTCAGCCCGCAGCCTGTACCGGTGCACGGGTTTATTCTGCCCTAAGTGCAAGACTGCGCGTTTCCTCATTGAACCTCGTGAGATCTCTTTTGGTCCAATGCTCCAATTTTTCTAGGTTTCCTTGAATAGGCTCAGCAGTGCTATGTTGGCTAGCACTATGCAAGAAAGAGACTTGGGGGTCATCATTGACCACAAGATGAACATGAGCCTGCAGTGCGATGCTGCAGCTAGTAAAGCGACCAAAACGCTGGCTTGCATCCATAGATGCTTCTCAAGCAAATCCCGGGACGTCATTCTCCCCCTGTACTCGGCCTTAGTGAGGCCGCAGCTGGAGTACTGCGTCCAGTTTTGGGCTCCACAGTTCAAAAAGGATGTGGAGAAGCTTGAGAGAGTCCAGAGAAGAGCCACGCGCATGATCAGAGGTCAGGGAAGCAGACCCTACGATGACAGGCTGAGAGCCCTGGGGCTCTTTAGCCTGGAAAAGCGCAGGCTCAGGGGTGATCTGGTGGCCACCTACAAGTTTATCAGGGGTGACCACCAGCATCTGGGGGAACGTTTGTTCACCAGAGCGCCCCAAGGGATGACGAGGTCGAATGGTCACAAACTACTTCAAGATCGTTTCAGGCTGGACATAAGGAAGAACTTCTTTCCTGTCCGAGCCCCCAAGGTCTGGAACAGCCTGCCACCGGAGGTGGTTCAAGCGCCTACATTGAACACCTTCAAGAGCAAACTGGATGCTCATCTTGCTGGGATCCTATGGCCCCAGCTGACTTCCTGCCCTTTGGGCGGGGGGCCGGACTCGATGATCTTCCGAGGTCCCTTCCAGCCCTGATGTCTATGAAATCTATGAATCCTAGCTCTACCGTTCAGTGTATCTACTACTCTCCCCATCTTGGTGCTATCTGACAGCAGATGTCAGGGTGACGGAAGTCCCCCGTGAGAACCAGGGCCTGTGGTTGGGAAACTTGCGCTACCTGTCTGAAGAAAGATTCATCCATCTCATCCTCCTGGTCTGGTGATCTATAGCAGACCCCCACCATGGCATCACCCTTGTTGCTCTCCTCTCGGACTAACCCAGAGACTTTCAACAAGCCTGTCTCCAATTTCATGCTGGAGCTCTGAGCAATCATACAGCTCTTTTAAATGAAGTGCAACTCCTCCTCCTCTTCTCTGCCTGTCCTTCCTGAACACTGTGTACCTATCCATGATCATACTGCAGTCATGCGAGGTCCCACTAAGTCTCTGTTATTCCAATCATGTCATATTTCCATGATTGTGCGAGGACTTCCAAGTCTTCCTGCTTATTTCCCAGGCTCCGTGCATTTGTACAAAGACACCTGAAGTAATTAGCCAATTATCCTCCTTTCTCAGGACGAATTAGAAGGCCTTCCATGTTGCTCCCTCCTTCTTGTGCTTCCTTAGGTCACCCACTTCCCCATTTACCTCATCCCCCAGTGACCCTAGCTTAAAGCCCTCCTCACTAAGTAGCCTGAATGCAAAGATGCTCTTCCCTCTTTCCTTTGAACTCATGAAGTCATGTGGTTGCATGACTATCCACATTCACTGTATATAAAAAAAAGTTTCTAGCCCTCTTGGTCACTTGGCTCAAACATCTGGAAGGCAAATATGAAGAACCTGAATGTATTGTTTTTACATCTCATTTCTTCTGGGGCAACATGGTCCATGATGTTAACAAGCTAAGGAAATACAGACCAGATTAATGTACTGTAACATAGATACATCAACTAGTTGGATCATCATGCTCGGTGAATATTCCTCAACGCCTGGTTGGGGAGAAGTATCAAGCGGTGTTTCCCTGGGGTCTGTCCTGTGTTTGGGATTGCTTAACACCTTCATTCACGATTGGGACGGTGGAACTGAATGCACACTTAGCAAATCAATCTGCAGATGATGCGAATTTGGCTGCAGGGCAGGGCTAGGATCTAAAATGACCTGGACAGACTGGAGAAACGGTCCGCAATCAATCAGATGAGATCCAACAAGGACGAGCGCAACGTCGTGCACTCGGGATGGAATAACTGCGTGTGCAAATAACTGCGTGGGCCCCGCACTTCCAGCCGGCAGCGAGGCCAGTCCAGAGGAGCAAGAAGTGATGAAAAGCCCGGGAAGTATGGCTTATGCGGTCCGGGGGGAAGAGGTCGTCTGGAGAAGAAAAGATTGGGGAATCTGATAACTGTCTTCAAATACGCGCAGGGCGATGACAGAAAGACCGGCGACGGGCTTTCCCCGCGGCTGCAGCGGACGGGACTCGGCGCGCCGGCCGCACGCGGCGGTGGAGGAGGCGCGGGTTGGGGAGGACAAGGCATTTCCTGACTACGAGGGCGGTGGCGCTCCTCAGACGCGTTGTAATGTCTCCTCGGACGGTTTTGGCAGCGGTCGGACAGACGCCGGGCTAGGAGAGGGGCGATCCTCAGGCCGAGGGGGCCGCGATGTCCCTGCTTTCCTGTCGTCCGGCCATTTTGAACCATCGGCGCTCGGCGTGGAGGAGCAGCCGTGTCCACCCGTTTCCACCGCCGCCAAGCTGCTGCCTCGTAAACCACGCCACCGGTTTCGTCTTTGCAATGTCCAGCTGCACACAGGCGGGCGCCCGGCGGGAGCGGCCCAGGACCGGGGGCGGCCGCGACACTTGGACCACGCACGGCTGCTATTTTCAGGGGTGACGGAAAGGGCCATAAGCTGGCCCAGCGTCTGAGGCGCTTATGGTCTCCAGCCTGCTCTGGGAAGACTTCGTGGTCCCACGCGGGGAGGGAGCAGCTGAGGGACCCACTTGTCCCCCTCAGGGCCAGGGCGGAGGGAGGCCATTGCCTTCCCTGCAGGGCCTCAGGGAGGAACTAAGGGCAGCCGTGCCCACTTCCAAGATGGCGGCGGCCACTTCAGGAAGTAGGGGCGGCCGGGGAGGGAGGAACTAAGGGCAGCTCTGCCCGCTTCCAAGATGGCGGCGGGCGCTTCAGGGCGCGCTGGGCGGGGGGCGGAGCCGTGCAGGGGTCCCGCCCCAGGCCCGGGGGAGGCAACATGGCGGCTCGTCATCTACAACGTGGTGATGACGGCGGGGGAAGAGTGTGAGCGCGTGTGCGTGCGAGAGTGCGAGTGTGCGTGCACGTGTGTGTAAAAGTGTGTCTGAGCATGTGTGCAGGGGTATGTGTGTGCATGTATCAGTGTGTGTGTAAGCGTGAGCATGTGTGTGTAAGAGTGGGGGTGTGTGGAAGGGTGTGAGTGCGTGCATGTGTATGTATCAGAGTGTGCATGCATGTGCGTATATGTGCGTGCGCACGTGTGTAAGAGTCAGCATGGTGTGGGTGCGTGTGTGTGTGTGAGTGTGTAGGTGTGCGTGCGTGTAAGGGAGTGCATGTGTCAGCGCATGTGTGTGCACATGTGCTTGTGCATGTGTAAGAGCTTGTGTGTGTGTGTGTGTGTGCACGTCTCCCCCCTGCCCCTTTCTTTCCCTGCTGGGCTCTTGTCCCCGTGCTTGAGGCCCTGGACGTCGGCGGGGCCGGCGCCGGGACCGGGACCCGGCTGCGCGCGCCATGGAGGAGGAGGAGGAGGAGGGCTCCTGGGTTTGCAGGGCGGCGCTGAGCCGGGAGCAGTCGTGTAAAAGTGACCAGCCTGGGGAGAGGTTGGCACGGCGAGGTGCGCATCCCCCGTCCCCAACTGGGATTTGAAGCGTGTTCAAAAATAGTCGGTCCCGTTGTGAGCTTTGCGAGGGAAGAATTGCTCCAATCATCAAAAAAAAAATCCCCAAACCAATAGTAAAAGCTGCAAGTCGGGTGCCTTAAATCTGTCGCGTCTGCCGAGGTTATGAAAGCGCGGCCGGGGCAGGAGCCCAGAGTCGCGGTTCTGCAGTAAATCCCTAGCAGGACGCTGTTTAAAATGCACGAAGCCTGGTGAGTGCAGGGTGTCTTCATCGGGGCGTCTTAATAATTAATTTGGAAAAATGTGAAGCTAAACAGCTGAGAGGGGCTGGCGAGACGTGGATGTAGAAGCAGCTCCCCTTTGGGTGAAGGGAGATGGGGCTGTGCTGGGCACGTGCTGCTCTGGGCGTCCTTTGATCCCCTGCGAAGTGGAAGCTAAGCAGGCGTGGCGGCTCGTGGTGTATATTGATACCTTTTCCTCCGCAGTATATTGCTAACTCTGGAGTAAGGGGATCTGTCTGGGGGATTTGGGATCAAGATGACATGTTTAAATTCCTACTGGAGCTTATTCCATATTAATTTTCTCACGTAGATGAGCCTTTAGCGCACAAGTTGAATGCAGCAAAGACTGTCTTAATCTTTTTATGCTGAGCCCAGCAAAACTGGGTCTTGGATTCATGACGGGGCTTCTTGGCTGTTGGTGCAGTACAAATGTGGGACGGCATCAAGCCAGGACACCTTGAGGGAGATTTTAAAGAGTCTTGCTGAAACATTCATAGAATAAAAATCTTCACTCGCGAGTGGGGCAGGAAGAGAGAGAAACCGGAACCTCAGTCCTGACTCGGGCTCTTTGCTTCCAGGCAGACACATGCGACTAGTCTCGCTCTCCTGGAGAAAAATGTCTTCATTTGGGATTAGCAGATAACACACCGTAGAAGATCTGATTATACCACGAGATCTGTGTATACTATGAGAGTGCCGGGTGGATCGATTAATTATTAAAATGGCCTTGGTTGTTCTTATTAGCAGCAGAGGTGGCATGAGATTTCAACCTGCGCTGTAGTTTTATTTTTCCTTACACACCTATGTGCTTTAAGAGGGTCCGACCCATTTCAGGTGCGGGTAGCTCGGTGTACGCCTGCTGTGACAGCTGCAGGGGATGTGCTTTTGAAATAGTGGACTTGCAAGCTGATTACACAATGGATATTGCTGTTCAATATTTAAATGTAGGAGCAATAACTAACCCTCAGGATTAGAAGACAAGGACTCCTTGCTCTTTCAGTTATGATGTTCCTGCACGACTAGCAAAGTTAACCTCTCTGAGCTTCACTCATCCTCTATTTTATAAATGAAAAAATGCTTTCCTGCCTTGCTTTGCCTATTGTGAGATTGAAGTCATTTAAACTTGTAATTTGCGTTGAAAATCTCTGGTGAAAGGTGCAGTAGAACTGCAAACGATGAAAAATGCTGGGAAGTTATACGCTTTCAAATTTCATTCCTTAAAAAAGTGTGTTATGATGTCTGTGGGGAAATGGCCAAAGGATCTGGATGGTTCCTCGCTGGTTTTAAATTCTTTATCCAGTCACTTTCTAATTTTGGCCAAATGCCCCAAGAAATGCCTCTCTTTAGATGGGATGTGGCATGAAAAATCTCAGAAAGGCTCTCATCCTATGGGAGTCTATGGAGAAGGATGGTCAAGTAATTAGGACTTTAGCTGAAACTCAGGGAAACCTGGGTTGAAATCTCTTCTTTTCCATCAACTTCCTGCGTGACCTTTGGCCGACCCACTTAAACCGTCTGCATCAGGATTCCTGATCTGAAAGAAGAAAGGAAAAAAGGAGATGCTTTCTAACCTTCCCCGGGAGTCAGTACTTATTAGAATAGCAATATTAAGGCTTGAGACACGCGCAGGTAATATGCTCAGGGGGGGCATGTAAGTACCAAAGGGACTTTTTATTTTGATGGAGAGTTAAATTTTAAATTCAAAATGGAGCACTGCTCTCCTTACGTACGCATTACAAGAACATGCTTTAAATCCTTAGTTGCCTTAACTGCCAGTAAGAACTTGTTTTACAATGGGGCAAGTGTCGATAAAAAAAAAAATAAAGTTTTCACTTGTGTTTGCTTTTTGTGTTTTCTTGTTTTAGGGAAAATAAGTAGTCAGATTTGTGTGTGGGAAGGATAAACATAGTTCCTAATTGTGTTTTCAAGAACTCCTACATTAAACAGGGTTTGCAAGTATTTGAATATGTTACACTTTTGCGAGGAAAATAATCTTTGTCATTTGAGATTTGTAAATTCACATCTACCTAAATTTTGGCTCCAAGGTGGTCTGGGGGTGTCTTTCAACAAACAAGCTAATCCCACAGATAAGAGAAGAAGTGAAAATTGTGGTGTATAAAAAACAATCTCCTGGAAATGGTGCTAGAATTGGAACAGAAAATGACTGATGAGGGTGGGTAGACACTGAATGTTGGCTTCATTAAAGCTATTCAAAAATTATCATATTGCTCTCATTTTTAGTGAAGTGTCAAGATTGCGGTTTGTTTAACAGCCACTCAAGATGGTTGTCTAGTGTGAAGTTTTAATTAGTGAAAAGACTTGGGGATTTGTTTTTAGATTTAATTTTAAAGTGTTAACTTGCTAACAGTATATCCTGTTAATACAGACGAAATACCATTCAGGGTTGTGGGCTCCTGGGTCCAGCTCCCCAGTGACTGGTTGCTAAGAATCAAAGTACACTTCTGTGTTATCAGCTGGGAACAACCGGCTTGTGTACTGACTTCCTCCCACACACCTTCACCGTATTTACTGAGATTCTCCCAGGGGGGTTTCTGCAGTGAATTCAGCCTGATGGGCATGGCTTTATTTAGTAAGAAAAGCGAGGTGGAACAGTGCAAGACTCTTGTTCTGGGCATTGTATCAGCATGGACTCACTCCATGCATATATCACTTTAAGCAGCAAGTAGTTCCACTCAAGTCCATAGGGACAATTCCTGCTCTTAAAGTGAAGCGTTCATATAACTGTTGGCAGGATTGGGACCGTAGTTTGTTGCCTTATTTCCACAGGTGTTTGAGAGGATCATCAATGCCTATGGTTTAGCTTCTGTGTATTAAACATTTCATCTTGAAACATCTACAGACATGGCAGGAGTCTGTGACCTAGTATCAGTTTGAATAGTCCCTGCTCACAGCCCTGTTCTAGCTAGACTTTAAAAAATGAATGGTTTATATTAATACTGTGCAATCTTTAGACCCTTTTTATGTAAAACTTTGCAAGACATGTAGAGAGAGAGAGATGCATTTATTTATGCTTCTTTTTAAAAGATTGCTGTTTCCATTTACTTTTACATCATAATATACATTTTTGACACTCTTTAGAAAATATTGTCCATTTTTTTCCAAACCATGGAGAATTTGCAGAAGCATACAACTACAAAACACCAGAAATGTATAGTCGTGTTCCCACTACTAGGTTAATTTGGCTGCATTGTATTCTTGCTGAGGCTCGTCAGTGGAGTCTTAAATATGTAGTTGATCTGATCTTGTTGCAGTGCAATAAAGAGCCCTAGAAAATTTGTAATAGGTCCACAGAGAACGGTGTTGAGTCAGATCTGGAATACTTAATGGATTTGGTTGACTGTCCGTTTCCAGAGTAGCTTATGAGCGTGGAAGGTTTGTACATGTGTCAGGTGGCTGTCCCGAACAGGGGATAAAAGTGAACAAGTTAAAGGGATAGAAAAGCTTGGGTGGGTTGTGGAAGAAGATCTGGGGGCTGGACTAAACTTACAGGGAGTGATTCATGGGGGAGGCAACCTAGTGCCAGATGATGTGGAAAAGACTGAAATACTCAATGCCTTTTTTACATCAAGTCTTCACAGGTATGATCAGCTCTCAGGCTACTGCACCTGGCAGCACAGTTTTGGGAAGAGGTGAGCAGCCAGCAGTGGTGAAAGAGTGAGTCAGGCTTTTGATACGGTCTCCTACAACATTCCAGCAAGCAAGTTAAGGAAGTCCAGTTTGTATGAATGGACTGTAAGGTGGATAGAAAACTGTCTGGATTATCAAGCTTAAAGGGTAGTAATCAATGGCTCAATGTTGAGTTGGCAGCCAATATCAAGTGCAGTGCCCCAGGGGTTGGTCCTGGCCTGGTTTCATTCAGTGTCTGCACCAGTGACCTAGGAGATGGGATGGAGCGCACCCTCAGCAAGTTTGCAGATGACACCCAGCCGGGGGGGAGTAGCAGATAAGCTCTGAAGAGTAGGGCTAGGATTCAGAGAGACCTAGACAAATTGAAGGACTGGACCAAAAGAAATCTCATGAGGTTCAGTAAAGACAAATGCAAAGTCCTGCATTTGGATGGGTAGATTAATCCCATGCACCAGTATAGACTGGGGATTGACTGGCTAAGCGTCAGCTCTG